ATCTGCCCAGAGGTCGGCGTTGCCGCAGACGCCCGCGAGGGGGCGGACCGCAGGTCGCGTGCCGCGCCTGCGCAGCACAGCTCCCGCGCCGGAGGCCTCGAGCGCCGCCCTCGAAACTGCGCCGGCGCGGTGCGCCTGGCGCTAAGGGGCGGGGCTCCGTTGCGCCGCGCGCAAGGCTGGGGCAAAACCCAGGCCGGGATAGGGCGTGGGGCAGCGCGTCGGGACGTCCCTCGCGTCGGGCCCGATGGCGCGTGCGCATTGGGCGGCCGCCGGGGAGGCTGAGGGGCGGGGCCGGGGCAAGAGTGGCTTCTTTGCCTCGCTGTGCCCTGTCGCCGCCGGACACCGCGCGGGCCGCCGGCATCATGAAGATCTGGACTTCGGAGCACGTCTTTGAGTACGTTTGGGGCGGGGGCAGGTCGGCGGGGGGCATGGGGTAACTGCGGGGTGGGAGGGCAGGCCGGGCCCGGAGTCGCGGCGAGGCCGGGGCGGCCCTCAGGAAGCTTCCAGGCGTCGGGCCTGGTGGGGGGAGCTGGGCCCGAGCGCCTCGGAGCCCTGGGGGCGGGGACGAAGGTCACGACCCCGGGGACGCCCCAGGAATGGGTTCCCAGGAGAGACGACCTGGGGAAGGGGCCCTGGCGGCCTGCCTCTCGTGGACGCCCCCTTGCGGGGCGGGGGCGTCGCCGAGCACGAGGTCCCTGATGGCACTGGGGGTGGGAGAGGCGCCCCTTTGCCACGTGGGGCCTTGCAGAGACCTGTGGGTCGTGGCCCCGAGGATCGTGGGCTGTCAAGAGGCTGGTCGCTCCAGTATCTTCAGGTGGAGTTCCTTGCTTTGGAATGTGGACTTAGGGCGAGCTCAGGCGACCACGCAGCGGACCTTTTCCGGCAGCCCGTTGACCTGAGGAGTTAGAATTTACGGCCTTGAAATTGGAGTCCAAGGTCCAGCTCTGGCTCCAACAAGCTGTGTGACCTTGGGGTTACGCATTTTCGTCTGAGACATGGAAGACGACGACAGAGGTGTCGTCAGGGCCTGACAGTGCTGAGATGTCTTTGAGGCCACGTTCATTAACATCTGTTGGTTAGGGAGAAATGTTTGGTAAGGAAAATAGGCCTTACACCAGTTGGATGTTGGGAATTAAATGCCCTTCTGTTTCCATGATTCATTGTCCAAAAGAACCACGCATTTATTCGCCTGTATCATTTTTGCCTGAACAAATTGTTGATCGTTTGTCTCATCACTCTTTATTGACTAATGTTTTTTCTTCTCACCCATTTGAAATGCCACCTTCCTCCTAAGACACGTGTGATTTATATTTTAATCCATTTCTGAGCTATCTGTTCTATCCCAGTGGTCTGGCTGTTGTTGCCACACTGTTTTAATCTTTTTAGCTTGGCAGTATGTTTTAGTTTATTTCCAGGGCAATGTTTAAGACAAGTTGTAGGCTTTTCACACACTCAGTGAATCAGACACATGCAGGAGTTCACTGGATCCTGGAAGGTAGAGAACGTTAGAATCAGGGGGCAGATTTCTTTTCACCCTAATGTTTACAGTCTTTCTGGGGGAAAGAGCCTAAGTTCGTAGTCTTTCCAGTGTTCTTTAACCAGGTCACGTTCTTCACTACTCTGTTTCAGCCGTCGGGATCATGGATGGTTTCTTCTTTGCAGTTCTCCTCTGGGTTTAAATGCTTGAGAAGTTGTTGGCGCTCCTTAGAATTTTCTTAACACTCTTCTCCCTAGCTTGTTTCCTACCCCTCCTCCCCACTCATTCGGCCCTTTTCTTTAATGTTTTCCTCTCTTCTTACCCTTCAGTGTAAATGTTCAGTGAAATTCTGTTGTTGGCCTTCTTGCATTTCGTCAGGGACTATTAGTCTTTCTCTTTTTGTTCCACGTTTCTCTGAAATTTGATGAAAGCTCTGGGACTGTCCTCGCAGAAAATAGACATATTCACATAAATGCTCTGCGTGTCCTGGGAGAAGAAGCCCTGATCCTGATTCTCCCCAGATAATGTGGACTTTTTAATCAAGGTCCCAGCTGATACACACATTTCTGGCACCCAAATCTGTGCCTTGGGCTCCAGTCTTTCTTGAACTTAAAATCCTTATTTTCAGGTCTTAGCAGGGTATCTCTACTCACATGTCCTGCAGGCTCTTCAGACTCAGCATCTCTGAAAATGAAGTCATTTATCTCCCCTCTCAAATGTTATGCTTTCCCTGTGTTTTCCATCTTAAGGATGTTACTAACTAACAACATCTAAGTCACCATTCTGAATCTTTCTCATCTGTGATTTTTCCAGTGCTTCCTTCTGAGGCCTAGCATGTAGTTGGCATCAGTTGAAGTCATTCATTGATTCCTTCAACAAATATGAAGGCCCACTAAGTGCCAGGCACTGTTCTTTGGATTGGTTCCACTTTGGTAAATAAATCAAGACACTGTTGCTGCCTCGGTGGAGTTAACAGTGTTCCCCACCTCGTTTTATAGGTGAAAAAATTGGACAGCTCACCAAGCACGACCGGGTTCTACTGACTGACTCTCCTTTGGGGCCATCTTTGAATGTCTTGCAGTGTGAAGTCTTTTCACATGATTTCATTAATTTAGTTAAAGTGAATTACTGGAAGATTGTTAATTGTAATATGCATCCTTTGTGATTTTTGAGCTAGTCGTGTTTTATAAAGCAGTCTTCGTCCAAGCTAAGTCAACGTCAATGTTTTCAAGTTGGCTCAGAGAGGAGAGAATGACTGACTTAGAAATAATGCATAACCACCCCGAAGCCTTGCAATTATTAATTTTTTCAAGGAGGTGGGGGAAGAGATAAGTGCGTGAAAGCCACCTCCCCATGGTATATGACTAGATGGAGACAGGGAAGGGTTCATCCGATTCTCATTTTAGATAGTTTCCTTGGTAACAGTCACAGTGCTTGGCCCCTATCACTTCTATTTGTGGGGACTGTTCAGCTTTATGAAGTGGCTCCGCTTATATACCTGCACTGTTTGCTGAATAAGGCTTGAGATTAAAAACAGAATGGGGTTCATTTCTGTATAATGTTAGAGCAAAAGTGAAGGCATTACGAGCAATGTTGCTGGTTGTCCGGGATTTTGCAAAATGAGTGAGGCTGAGATTTTCCTTTTGTCCACGAAAAGTTGTCAGGCTCAGTTCTCTGAAAAGTGGAAGTAGATTACTGCCTCCTTGTTTTGCTTTTATTTTTTTAACATCTTTATTGGAGTATACTTGCTTTACAATGTTGGTGTTTTGCTTTTCGAAAAATAAAAAGTCATGCTGTGTGGTTTATCAGTAAGTGTAGTTTGAAACACCATCTCCAGATCTTGTCTTTCCTTTCAGTGAAGACGTGTAAAATCAGTCACTTTTAAGGCTCATTGTAGTTAATAAGAAGCTCATTTGAAATGGATATCTTTGGTACAAGCATGTTGTTCAGATAAGTTGTGAAGAGAACAAATGTACATCACATTTTGAATCACCCAAGTACATGTGCTTTTTGACGAATATAAAGATGCTGCAAGTTCCATGATATTATTACCATCTCGATCCTAGATGACAAGCAAATGCTTATTAAGAGAGAATATTAGAGAGTGGCACATTAGGAGCACCTTAAAAAAACATTTTATTGTATTGAGTGACCTTTTCAAAACAGAAATCAGAATCACTCTTGAGGAAAGTAATGGATAAAGATTGACTGGAGGGGCCAGTATTATTTATTACCTTATTAGAGAAGAATACAGGTTTAATATTATGATATTTAAGTCAGTAATGCTTTGGATCTTTTTGTAATTCCTATGAGAATTTGTAGTGCCTATAAGTTCTTTTGCTCTTGTTACTTCTTTATGGCTTCACAGAAGTGGGGTCAGACAAAAGAATAAATGGTATAATATTTTTTGCTCTTTGTTTCTGTAGAACATAATTGTAAAACACATTTTTATGAATCAGTAATTCTTAGAAACAAAACTTACATGTGAGAGTGGACACTGATAAGTGGACGAGGTGACTGAAGAACGGCTCTGTAGCGCCCTGTAGGCTATTTTAACCTTCTGGGCGCCAGCTCTGCCGCATCACCTGTGTGCTGAAAACATACTGAAATCTGCACATGTTCAAAAGGTAGATTGAGCCTCCCCAAATCATCTTTCAGTCAACATTTCAGAAATAATCTTCCCTAGGTAAATTAAGTAAAGTTTAATTGTAAAGACTAATTTGATGGGTTATAAGAATGGTTTAATTTATATGCGTATTTTTTAATGTTTGATTTTTTATTCCTGTCGGCAGCCACCCATGGGAAACTGTTACAACAGCTGCAATGCAGAAATACCCAAACCCTATGAACCCAAGTGTGGTTGGAGTTGATGTATTGGACAGACACGTAGATCTCTCTGGAAAGTTGCACAGCCATAGACTTCTCAGCACAGAGTGGGGACTGCCTTCCATTGTGAAATCTGTAAGTGTGTCTTTATTCCTGAAGCAATGTGACTGCTGTAGAGAAGTTTTCAAAACCACATTATAATTTCAAATAGGTTGTGGGAGCCGATTCTGAATGTCATTTTTGCATCAGTTCAAATTGTATTATAATAAACTTGAGTTATGAGTGTATAATGAATTGGAAATATTATTACAGTCTTCATGAAGGCACCCGATAAAACCTCCTGAACGAAGCCAGCTAATGCTCTGTCATCTAAAAGTTTTATTCTGCTTTTCCTACTTTGCCAGCAACTTAAGATGTGGAAGCAGTGGTCTGGTGCTGGTTGTTAGCTGACAGTTGCTGTGGTCAGTGGTGGCCGCGCCTGTTAAGTGAGGAGCATGGTCTCACTTTGCTGCTGCCGTGTTTGTTCCAAGATCTGTTGCTTCTACCTGTGCGTTTAAAAGCAATTCTGTGCCCTTTCAAGGGAGCAGGCTTTAGTGAGCCAGTTTAACCAGCAATAAAGTGGGGTGCCAGTTTATCGTGATGGGAGAGAACCCTGGTATAAGTGGACCTAGTTGTCTCTAGAGATTCTTTTTCTAGAAAGTGGGCCCCCCTCAGAAAAGTAAAGTACACATTTTCCAACAATTTGCTTCCGTTGCACACACCACTGCACTAGATGGTGCGGACGCAGAAATGAGCACGGCTGGGATTGGCTTGGGGTCGGAGCACAGGGAGTGACCCTGGATGTGCTGTGTTATCTTCGTCGTGAGGTGGCTGGTTTTCTGTCTGGAGACCGGCGCCACTGCGTCCTCTCCCTTGGGCTGCGCTAGGAAAACACTGACACAGACACTCCAAACCTCTCCTTTCTCTACATGCCCTGTTTCCCGACTATTCAGGCTCACTGTTCCACCTTCTACCTTGGCAGTTGCCGAGTCCTACCTTGTACTCCGTTCGCTCTCAGCGGGCTGGTTGCTAATCGCCTCTGCTTGTGTCTTGGGCGTCTCATCTCCTTCGTGGTGTATGAAGTCCTGTTACCCTTAAACCGGCCTCCTTTCTGACCTTCGTTGCTTTCTCATGTTTTTTATGAAAACAGATTTTTGGTTCAAAATATTAACACATTTTTACCTTCAAATAAAATACTGATACGCTTGTTAAGAAATCCTTCTTCCTCTGATTACTAATTCTGAGTGTTTTCCTTAGCTTATTGGTGCAGCAAGAACCAAAACGTACGTGCAAGAACATTCTGTAGTGGATCCCAGAGAGAAAACAATGGAGCTGAAATCTACTAACGTAAGTCTGGACTCCCTTTTGTTTTAATTTTAAACTATTTGGCTTAGTTTTTTTCTCTCTTTTGTAGTTGGTACACGAATGTATGCTCTTCAGCCTGGTTTAGGAAATCAGTACTGAGATGCTGCATTGTCTCTGCCTGTTTGCAGCTTAGCCTCAGCGCTCTAATGAGCCTGCCTGTTATTTCTAGGAGACAGCACTCAATAAAGTGAATTTGGCATCATGTGCCTGTTATTGCTATTATGATGCTTTTGTCAAATTCATTATTTTTTAATAAAAAGGAAGCAATGAATAGTGAAAACTTCTTTTTACACAGTAATATCAAAGTGGTTTATTTGCTGCTGTCTTGTATATTTAGCTAGCAAGGTTTTGGTTTGTGAATTAATTTTGGAAATATTTTTAATCTTGGTTTCCAAGATGATTTGACTTTTTTTTTAATTCTATAGATTTCATTTACAAATATGGTTTCAGTAGATGAGAGACTTATATACAAACCACATCCTCAAGACCCAGAAAAGTAAGTGAAAAATATTTTAACAAACCTATTTTACAGTGTGTGTTAATTTTTTTAATCACATATTTCTTTGAAAAATGAAAATTAGGTCATCCTGAAGCTGTATAAATGTGTTTTGTTCCAGAACTGTTTTGACTCAAGAAGCCATAATTACCGTGAAAGGGGTCAGTCTCGGCAGTTACCTCGAAGGACTGATGGCAAGCACGATATCGTCAAATGCCAATAAAGTAAGTAAGGCTGCTCCCCGCTTGCTCTTTGTTTTGTTTTTTGTTTTTTCTTTGGGGGGTGCAGCACAGGCTTGCAGGATCTTAGTTCCCCACGCCCCCTGCGGTGGAAGCACTGGACCACCAGGGAAGCCCCTCCCTGCTTGCTCTTATTCCTGGGTCTTGTTTCTTGGAAGCGCTGTCCTTGTGAGCTGACTCTGAGCCACTGCAGTGCGAGGTGATGTGGGCAGTTGCTGGCATGGGCTCTGGGGTCCAGCCCACCTGCCTTCACGTGCCAGCTGTAACTCTGACCAGCCTTTCACCTTGGGCAATTAATTAAGTGAACCTCTCTCTGCTTCAGTTTCCTGTCTGCCAAGTGGAGATTAATCACCCACCTTACAGGGTTGGGTGCGAAGAGTGAATGAGATAATATGGGAAGACTGTAGCCCTGGGCCCAGCATGGGGGAGCGGGGGGAGCCGTGTAGCAGTGCGTCACTTTTGAAAGCATAGATTCCCAACCTTTTTGTCATTATCTCCCTTCACGTCCAGGTCCACTGTAGATATTTTTCCCCTAATTACCCCCACCCCATGAAATTGTTTAATACTACAGATTATATCTGTAGATATAGATAAATGGATATATGTCTGTGCTTTGTACGTGAAAAAAGTGAGATTTTTCTCCACTGCCCCCCAACTAATTTTTGCCTGATTGAGAATGATTTAAAATAAAGTAAGTTCAGAGAAAGAGATGCCTAATGTACTGTTTTATAACACGTTTAATATAATCATTCAGCAGTCAAAAGATATTCATAGATGCCTTCTCTGTGTCAGGCAGAGTGCTAGGCTAGACCGGGGATACAGCGGGGAGCAAAACAAACGTGGTCCCTGCCCTCATGGAACTAAGAGGAAGGCCACGTTAATCATACAAAACGTCATTAGGAAGGGAAAAGTACAGAAAGGTATGACAGTGTTACAATGAGTGTTCAGTAAGTGATGTTTCTGCTGAGTTCTGAATGAGGGGTGGGTAGGCCGTGAGGGGCCTGCTAGGAAGCATTCCAGGCAGAGGAGCTGCGTGTGCAAAGGAGGCCCTGAGACCGGAAGCAGGAAATGCTCCTGTTCTGTCCCTCAAGGAACTGCATAGGGTCCAGGAGGGTGGTTGAAGTGGAAGTCAGGGACCAGAGCCTTCAGAGCCTCGTACAGCATTTTGGTTTAAAATATGAACATAAAAAGAAAAAAAAGGAGTTTGACCTCACCCCGAAAGGGGAACCATTCTAATCATAAATAAGTAAAACATCACTGTCGTTTAATTGTAGATTCGAGAACATCTTTTGCAAAAATATAAATTAAAATCAGTATATAGATCAAGCCAGTTTCTCAAGGCATTTGATATTTGGTAAATAACATTAGAGGAAAAAAAACAAAGGTAAAAACAACCTGTCCTGGTGAGGTTTAGTTATGCTTGTACCGCTTCTTGTTACTTCCTGATGTGCCGTTTATTTGACAGGTGCCTTCGCTCTTACTTGGTAAGAATAAACATGTTGGATTTTTTTTTAAGGGCCGAGAAGCAATGGAGTGGGTAATACATAAATTAAATGCTGAAATTGAGGAATTGACGGCTTCGGCAAGAGGGAGCATAAGGACACCAATGGCAGCAGCAGCATTTGTGGAGAAATGATAATGAAAGTTGATAACACCCAGTTCCCCAGGTCTCTACAAGCTGGCAGTATATTTATTTGTTATTTAAAAAATACAACTATATTTTCGGTAGAATTGTTTTTTTAATAAGCTGAAGAAGGACTATGTGACTTGATCAAAACAAAGAGGTGCAGGGTTTCTAAAAGGGATTGGCTGAAGTTAGTGTTGTCTGAAATGACTGTCTGATTTTGAGGATTCCAGTATTTATGTAAAACTTTAACAATTTTTGAAAACTACTTGAAAATTGGTATTGGCTGATCAAACCTCCTTAAGGTAGAGTTTTAAAGCTTTTCACGCATTGGAACTCTACCTGTCTTTGGACCAACCCCAGAACCAAGCAGAGCCACCTCTTACATACCCACCACTGCCCTGCAATAAACTTGGAGGACTTGCATGAGGGAACTCACTTTTAAAGGAGAAACTGTATAGTTTTAAGAAGACATTAATTGTATAAAATAATTTGCTCTGCTATAAACCACCATTAAAAATCACAGTGTTTTGGGCTTCCCTGGCGGCGCAGTGCTTGAGAGTCCGCCTGCCGATGCAGGAGACGCGGGTTCGTGCCCCGTTTCGGGAAGATCCCACATGCCGCGGAGCGGCTGGGCCCGTGAGCCATGGCCACTGAGCCTGCGCCCAAAACAAAAGAAAAAAAAAAAAAAAAAAAAAAATCACAGTGTTTTAATTTGGTACTCAACATTTTTGGAGTAAAAATTATCACGAAAGTAATAAATGACTCCAACAAAAATATGTTTTATTGTGTTAAAGAGTACTGTATTGATTTGCCAAAGTTTTGTAACTTAGTAAATGGATTACCTTCCTTGGATCTGTACTTTATGACTTAGTATGCTGTGTTGTGGGCTGGTTATGTTAACTGAAAAAATAAAGTCATTACCAGAATTTTGCACTACTCTAAACTTAAACAGAAGAACAGCTGTTCACATCTTTTAGCATTTCACATTTGCCTAACTTATAAATTACCGTGTGTCAAAATTGTGGTTCTGTAATTGCTAAAGCATATGATATGTCAGGTTATTTGAATATAATTCCTTTTTGAAGTAACTGTGACCACGAAACATCTTTTTTCCGTGAAGAGCTTGTACATCATTTGAAATTACTAGAATGATGTCTTGATCTGAAGCTTAAATCCCAGGGACTTAATGTTTTTAAATAATACTGTGTCACTGCAGGGGATGGGGGCGGTGGAGAAGAAAAAAGAATAATAGGGTGGAAAAAAAAGCATTGACCTAAACTAACCAGTATGTGAATTGCTTTGCAGCTTTTATTTATGGGAAATCCTTGCTCTGGATGCCAGTGGGCAGCTGCAATCCGAAAAACAATCCAGTAAATGTTTTGTTTTGTATTTTGTAGCAGGCAATTAATTATCAACCGTTAAATAAGAATATCTTTGATACTGGGAATTGTTGCATACAGAATATTTTTGTTAAAAGGTGATGAGCTCTTGCCTTTATTTCACAGTACTTAAAGTGATAAACTTCTAGTCAGGTTTCCTATAAAAGAAACCAATTAATGTATGTACCTAAACCACAAAAATAGTATACCAGACTGTTTGAAAATTATTGTTTTTCTATTTAAAATATTGTTTAGCTTGCGACTTCTTAGGACATTTGTAAAAGCAAGTTAAATCCAATAAGGTTTTTGATTATTTTTTGTAACCAGAGATGGTTTTTACAATTAAAATAACATTTCAACTAAACAAACCATTGCTAAATAATGATATGTAATAATAAGTTGCCTTGTATAACTTCTGGAAATTATACTTGTTCTGAAAAGTGTAAGAATACCCTAATGATAAAAAGATTTCTAAACAAAATTTTATCCAGTTTGATTTTTTTTACTCTGATCTAATGACAAAATTCTATAGATTTTCATCTTCCAGTGTAGTTACTTTTCGTTAAGTAGCTCGTAGGTAATGGCTTTTACCTGTTAAAATATAAATAACAGCAGGCATTCGAGAGGACTAAACTGGAGTAGAGTGTTCATGGGTTAGAATTAAGACTCTCGGACTATGGAGCATATTATCCTGTTTAATGTTGAAGATGGATCTTATATGAATTAAGAAAAACCTTCCTGTTAATAAAAACTTCCTTTTAGCTATGATGTTTTTCCTGATTATAATTTCTTTTTAGTAACTAAGGAGCGAAAGAAATGTTTTTCCTTGTAAGAATTCACCTAATTGCCGCGCGCTCCAGCCAGCTCTGCGCCGCGAGGTTGAGTCTCTTAAATCGGACGCGCTGCGCCTCCTCCCCTCCTCCCTCCGATGTCCAGTTCATTCTCTCCGGCCAGGTTCTGGTGCCCCGGGCCGGCCTGAAACCCTAGGGATGTCGGGGGGCGGCTCGTTTTAACTGTTACCACGGGGCGGACATGCTTGAGTGTTGTCAACATGAAGGTCTGTACGCGGCCGTCGGGTCCGGGGTCGGGGGACGTGCGCCCCGACACCGACCTCGACGCGGCCCCGAGTCTCAGGCTCCCGAAGTTACGCGGTCGCGCGTTCCCTCCAACTCCCCTCTTGCCCCGCCGCCGCCCCGCCGCCGCCGCCTAGGCCACTACGAAAGCCCGCGGAGCCAATAGGAACGCGCGGCCGGCCGGTCCGCCCGGGG